AGAGCAGTATAAACAAGTCATGACATTTTAGTTTGTACTGACTTTGCTAATGCTTTTTATGTAGCCTGTTGTAGACCTAGGCAAATATCTAGATGAGTTGACGTACCCCTTGGAAGAACCTCTGCATACCCCCAGAGATACGTGTACCCTGGGTTGAGAACCACTGGTATATAGGATGCCTCTATGCTAGACGCTGTAAATAAAACAGACACAGTCCTGCCCCAAAGAGTTTAGAATCCAAGTCCCCTGTCTCTAAGGGTACGTCTTCACTACCCGCCGTATCGGCGGGTAGCGATCAATTTATCGGGGATCGGTATATCGCGTCTCGTTAAGACGCGATATATGGATCCCCGAACGCACTCCCTGTCGACTCCGGAACTCCACCGGAGTGAGCGGCGGTAGCAGAGTCAACGGGGGAGCCGCGGACGTCGATCCCGCGCCGTGTGGACCCCAGGTAAGTCGATCTAAGATACCTTCGACTTCAGCTACGCTATTCACGTAGCTGAAGTTGCGTATCTTAGATCGATTTCCTCCCCCCTCCCCCCCCCCAGTGTAGACCAGCCCTTATACTGAGATGGTAGGCTCTTTAAGAGTAGGAATCATCTTTCTGTGTAATTTGTACTGTCTCTACCACAGTGGAGCTCTGTTCTGTAATTGGTGCTTCTAGGTGCTGTCACAAAACAGTTGTTGTTCAGTTCTAATCATCCTAGTTAAAAAAGGATATAACAGAAACAGTGGTTTAGAGACTTGGGAAGACAAGATTGAGACTTACACAACAGACGAATGAGAGGGGGTGTGATGCAAGTAAACATAATTAACTATATGGAAAAGGTATTTTGGGCCTTTCTGTTAACTTTTCTCATATTAGAATCTGAGGATATTCAATTGAGCTAATTCACTCAAAACAGAAAAGAAGCAATTACATATTTTAATACAAAGTATATGACTAACCTATGGAATTCATGGTTACAATATATCAGTAAGGCCAAGAAGTAAGTAGCTTTAGAAATACTTATGGAGGAGAATGTCCACCGTTAGTGTTCAGCTTATATGCTAAAGCAAAAGGGTTTACAGGTTTTTTTTTTTATTCTCACAGGGTTTGGAAGAAACTTCCCCTGTGGGCAAATTATTCCATAATTATTTGTATTAGGGTTGCTTGCACCTTCCTCTGAAGCATCTGGTCCTTAACACTGCCAGACAGGATACTAAAACTAATAAACCACTGCTCTGATCTAGTATGGCAAATTTAATATTTCCCTCACTTCGTTATGCTTTCTTGTCTCTGCTGTTATCCTGTGTGTATTGTCTGTTCTTTTCCAAGCTGTGCTGTTTCTTTACCCCCTATTAGTTATGCTGTTTGACAGTAAAATGACATCTAGGATTTAGAAGCTTGAAGTATCACCTGACATTCCTATATTGCTGAGGATTCTAGTAATTTTCACATTGCTTTCCATACACAGACAGGAACAAGGTACAGGGGGTTAGAGAAGAGACTGAATGACAGCTGTTCAAAAAGCATCTCAGCACATGTGGTTCTGTAAAACTGTCTAGCTGTGAGTTGTTGTCGAATATTACAAGACTTAAAACAAGTTCTGCTTCAGCATCGTTATAGGATAGACTTTCTCAAGTAATGGGAGCCTACAGTCGTATTATCACAAAGATCACTCCAAGGAGTGGTATATAACCCTAGTGAAGTCAACTTACTTAAAATGTCTGCATTTTAAAGATTGTTTCATCTGTGCACCAATTATGCCCAAGACTTTTTTCCATATCTGTAAGTGTACCAGGTACATTGTGTGATTTCTGATGAAATGGAGGTTAAAATGAATGAGATGAAAAGTCTTCAGAGAAACATTTATTAGTAGGGTGTGTGCATGTGTGTATATGTTATTTTTAAAAAAATACTTAGTACTAATTCCTGTAACATTTCTAACTCTCAGTGTTGGAGCTTAGTGAAAATGAGATGATTAAGATCAGTATCTTTGTCACTATCTTGGTTAAATGTTCTCATGGCAGTTAAAAATTAAACCATTACAATGACTGCAATTAAATGTTACTGAAAGGATTTATCAGTGGAGTTGGCTGCATGAAATGGGAAGACATATGTATGCAGAGAAGATTTAATGTACTTTGCATTTTCTGCTAAAATAGATGCCTTTTACCAACATTAGTCACTTTCACGATTTAAAGTTCAGTTATCCTCAGGAAGGTAACTCTGTAAAAAGATAACTTAGTGTTCCATAGTCATTCTGCTTCCTCTGTTGCTCTCATCAAATTTGCTTTGTTTACCACTGCCAGCACTACAAGCTCAAGTTGTCATTTGAAAATCAAGTTATGATTAATCTAGCCTTGTAAGCCTCACCTTCCTTAGCAAGGATCCTGAAATTTGAACTTTGCTGGCAGATTGACTGATGGAGAACAGGCTTTATGCTATCCTGCTTCATGCAACAGGTATACTGGTTCTACACTGCAGGCAAATAGCCCAGATTTGTTGGTAACCCAAACAGAAAATGTGCAGTTGTCATTCTGTTTTTCTGACCAAAGCCACTCTTTGAAAAATATAAACTGATACTTAAATGTTAACACCCTGGTATTTTTTCAGAGGTGCTGTGCACATGCAACTTTCATTTACTTTATTGGAGTTGTGGGTGTGGAGCACCTCTGAAAATTGAGGCATATATATTTTAATATATATTTCTAAATATAGGAACTTTTAATGTAGTTTTTATATAAAAAGTAAAAACAGTACATTTGTGGTGATCTGTAGATAATGCAGGGACCAGTCCTGTTTTCAGAGCTAGGTCAGATAGTATATTTCTCCTTTTAATTATAAATAATACACATTAACATCCCTGCATTCTTGAGAGGAGGAAAAAACCGCAACCTTAAGGTGAAGTCCTATTGGGATTCCCTTCTGTTCATGTGCAGTGGTATCAACGTAAGGGCTGTGGAAGTCGTTTTAAAGCTATGGTTAGTGCTTGAGTTATGAAAACCTTTGAAATATTTTGTCAGTATTTGCTGCTCTGGTCTCCAATAAATACGCGATTTCTTCCTTTTCCAGAAAATAAGTGTCTTTGGTACCCTTTTTTAATTTTGTACAGGTTCATGTTAATTTCCCACAACGGTGTTGAGCCGAACACCCACAGATTCAGGCTGGCATGCATAGAGGAGAGGAAAAAATGTAGAAAACATAGTGTTGTGGGCATCTAGACTAGGCCTGTAGAATTTTTGACTTCCGCATATACGGGAGGCCCTATTTGCAATCAAATATATAAGCACAACTTGCCTCATCAAATTATCATTTGCTTTCATGTAAACAAATAGCTTGGTACCTTTTTTATTTATAACTCGTTTTAAAATTCAAAAACCAGAATGAAAATTAAAATCAATTTGACCAGTGGCCTGTTGGCAGCACAGTTGGGCTTTCAAGCTCCCTGAGGTTGGCACAAGCAGGAAGATCTCTCTCTCTTAGGGTTCAGTAGTGCCACCCATCACCATAGCAATGCCCTTCATAGACTTCATGGAATCTCTGACTCGTCTCCCTTTTTGGGCTAAAAACTGTAAGTAGGGTTGGGTTTTTGTTGGCTTGGCTGAGTATTGGTTTTGTTGGTTTCAGATTTTAGGAATGGGGGACCTGTGTATAATGGAGTCGATGTTGTGAGTACTACTGACCCCTGGCACCTTTTGATGGCTAATAGCTTTTATTGAACTTTTATTGAACTTCTTTCAAAAGCAGCTTCACAAATGTGTATTCAGCGTAGCATTCACACTTGTGCACCTTTAAGACACTACTTAAATGCAAATGAATTGGTGAATCTGAAAGGGAAAAACCAAGTTAAGGCATTCTGATGTTTCTGTTCTGATTTCAAACATCAGCTACAAACGACCTGTTCCTGATAATTTTCAATAAAACGGGAATGAAATGCGATTCCTTGTATTAGTAATGCAATACAGAGTCAGCTTTTTTTTAGTTTATATCCAGCCCAGGTCAGGCACTTGCTATCATCTGATGGCTGTTGGTTGGCCTCCAAGATAAGGTTATTTAAAGGGCCAAATGATCAGCAAAGCAGTAGTTAATTCTGACATTTTAAAATGTCTGTTAATGACACTTCAGAGTTCATGCCCAATGGGAGTAGTGGGAGATGGAGTTCATACTTGTCTGTCATTGTTTCAGGCAGCTTGAAGACCTGATGCAGTTTTGTCTGTCTGATTTGTATTTGGAAGGTTATCTGGTTGGGTGTTTTTCCTAATTTAAATGAAAGCTTAGATTCTGCAGCATGAGTGTCCAGCAGAGTCGCTTAAATAGATCAAGCAGGCCCAGTGTATGCTGTGGATGGAATGTTTGACACCACTGACCTACAGTATTCTGCTGCCGTACCTATTGCATCTAGGGGCTGGCCTACACTGGGGGTGGGGAGGAGGGAAATCTATCTAAGATATGCAACTTCAGCTATGTGAATAGCGTAGCTGAAGTCGAAGGTATCTTAGATCGATTTACCTTGGGTCCTCACGGCGCGGGATCGACGGCCGCGGCTCCCCCGTTGACTCCGCTACTGCCGCTCGCTCCGGTGGAGTTCCGGAGTCGACAGGGAGCGCGTTCGGGGATCGATATATCTCGTCTTAACGAGACGTGATATATCAATCCCCGATAAATTGATCACTGCCTGCCGATACGGCCTGTAGTCTGGACGTACCCTAGGAGTAGGATTTCACTTTCCAGGGGCATCAAACTATCATCTTTCAGAAGCATTTCTGTAAACTCATTTAAAGAGATTCTTAGAAATTAGCTAAAGTGTAATCTCTTAATCTTTGATGTTGCAAGGATTCCCACATATGTTTACCTTGAATAATCCCTTTGACTTCAATGTAACTATTCACAGTACGTAAAATTAAGCACACGAATTTCTTTGTTGAAATGCGACCTGAATATATGAAGTACTCCTGTGAGTTGGCAATAACAATGCTTTGCTCTGTTGCCTTGACATGTGTCTTAATTCCAGGGGTGAAGGCATGTTTGCAAAGCAGAATTCGTGAACAAGAAGAGAAGTATGAAATCTGTGGTGGCCCACGAAGAGGCAGACTCAACCAAGAACAGCTGGTAGCTATCTGATTTTTTGAAAACTATCTTTTATACCACTGCCGTCTGCCACATGCGTGGATAAGAGATTTAATACTTCAGTGTGCACTTATTCAGGTGTTTGTGTGAGAGGTGATTGAATTTACTGTTAATGATTGTCACAAACTGTTAATGGATATCTGACTTGTATTCCCATAAACCTTGCCAAAGCTTCAGAGGGAAGTCTCAGTGTCGTTATGCAAGAAGTTGCATGAAACACACAGGTTGAAGTTTCCTCTAGGATTCTCCAGTTCGGTTTCAGTTGCTACTTGGAATCACTCCCATCTAAAAGGAAGGAAAAATATTGTAATTATTTTTCATTCAGTCTAGGTCCATCCTATCTTTTTAACTAACATCTGATTTAAATGGACTGGTGGTGTGATGTAATTTTATCGCTTGTATTATTGTAGCACCTAGCAGCCCTAATCAAGGACCAGGGCCCTACTGTGGTAGGCGCTGTACTAACAGAGCAAACAGGTGTTCCTTGCCCCAAGGAGCTTACTGTCTAAGTAAATGCCTTTCGGAGACTAGCTTTGATTGGTTGGAAACAGATATTGAGGTTTCTAGAAACTGGCATAGTAACTTGTTGCACAATTTAGCCCATATTTTCTGATGCCCCTATTGAGCTAATGCTCGTTCCTTTGACTTCCCCATCATGTGCTGAGCTGTGGATCCCTGTACTTATTCTATTTCTTGTTTTCGTTTTTCTTAGCTGCCTAAGTTGTTTGATGGTTGCTACTTCTATTTTTTGGGAACTTTCAACCACCACCAGAAGAGTGACCTCATAGAGCTGGTTAAAGCAGCAGGAGGACAAATCCTCGTTAGGCAGCCAAAGCCAGATAGCGACGTGACACAGACCATCAACACAGTGGCATACCATGCCCAACCTGGTTCTGATCAGAGTTTCTGCACACAATACGTTATCTATGATGTGTCTTCTAAGTACAACCCAGATAAAATTCGCCAAGGCAAAGTCTGGATGGCCCCCTCCAGCTGGCTCATAGACTGTGTGATGTCATTTCAGCTGTTACCTGTTACAAAGTGAATATCCCGGCAGCATGAACAAGTTTCTCAAATGACCTCCGAACCTCTTGAGCAGTTGGAACACACAGCCAGGCAGTCTAGAATCAAAAGCTAAACCCACTCTTCATTATTCACACTTAAAACCACAGTAGAACCTATTAACGACTGGGAGACTTACTGTGAATTGCTGAATTTTGTGAATAAATGAACAAGCAATGAAAAATAAGGATAACACATCAGAAATGTACTTTAAGTTCCTTTATTTGACATAGCTCATTTTCAGTTGTTCTATTTCAGCATACTAATATATGTTCCATATAGCATTTTGTAATTTATAATGAAGTCTTTGTAACACGAGACCTTTAGAACACCCTTGGTTGTTCAAACCTTCCCTTCAGAGTGGATGAGATCATCATTTCTTGTTTGTGACGTATAAATTAACAGCGTCCTACCATAAGTGTCACATAGTCAGATTTCCCTTTAAGGCCAAGAATTAAAAAATAGGACCCTAAAGTTAAATGCCTAAAACCATACTTCAGCATCTGCCTAATTTCACTGAGATATGAGGTAGCCGTGTGTTCAGCACTTTTGAAAATTGGGCATGTGCATAAATACAGATTTAGGAGTCTAACTTCAGACTTCAAAGTGGTATTTGCAAAACCACCTAAGTTACTTAGGACAAGTCCCATTAGACATTCAATAGGACTTGTGGTCTTAAGTCACTTAGGCACCTTTGGAAAATCCCACTCCTATATTTAAAAATCTTGACCTAACCTATTCTTAATGTTTCATTAAGAGTCATTATCAAAACTCATTCCACTTTCATACCTGTAAATATATAATTTAAAAAAATCCTAGCAAACTAGCATCTCATTTAAGATGTGATTTTTTTTTTAAAACAAAAGTCAGATTTAGAGTCAGATTACAACTATATTCAGAATTTTTATCCATGTGTACAAATAGTAATTGTATTACACATACCACTGCTATCATAGCCCCTTTAATGGGAAAACGGCGGCACCCACAAGCATAGTGCCTTTTAGAAAATAGAGAGTTTTATTAAAAATTTATCCTGATTGCATTTGAGTGAAATTTGACATTTTACATATTTTGTTCTAATCACTGATTTTTATTGAATCCTTTATTGCTTTCATAATTGACCACAGTTTATGTTAATGTCTATAATCTCGCTTTCTTTCAATGTATTCGAATGGCTTGTGAAGCTTTTCATCCTGTAGGTTGCATCAGGTATAAAATCATGACTTGGAGCTGTGTGATTGTAATGATTGCTATGTGATGATAATGATGGCTGTGTGATGGGATTAAGCATTTGTGTTTGCATTTTGTATTGCTTGTAATAAAACTTATGGTGCCAGTGACTTTTTAAAATAATTTCTTACGTAAGTTTAACTGCAGAATAAATATGAAGCGTGTACATAATTTAACAAGAATTTCAGAATTATTTGCATAAATTCCCGACACAGCAGCTGAGCGCAACAAAGATTCCGTCTGTGAGACTCTCTCTCTTCTGGGGGAAGGACAATTGATTTCTTTTCTATAGTCATTGTCACTGGGGACTGTAGGCCATTTCCACTATTCTCCATGGAACTCTCTGTGGAGTGTTGCTTTCTTCACAGATAGTACAATGGGTAAAATTTTCAAAAGCGCCAAAATGACTAGGAGCTGAAGACCCCAGGATGTAGATCTCTCGTTTACCCTGGGTAGCCTGTGAACTGTCACCGTATACTAAAAGCCGGTCTCATGCACTTGGCTTTGTGTGTGTGATAGCATGCGCACAAATTTCGCGGATTAACAAAATAACTGTTGCAAACTGATGATTTTTGTGAATAAGCAAATGACCAAGTAAACACTACAGCGGTGAACATGTATCAGTTTGTTAATTTATTGTAACCCCTTTGGGGTTTAGAGAGCATGGCCCTTTAAATCTTTTTCCTAGGGGGGAGGGGGAGAGTAAGAAAAAAGGAGGGAAACTCCAGGGGGCAGCGCTGGAGCTCCAGGGAGAGGCAGCCTGCAGGCCCTGGAAAAGTGAAGCAGCAGAGAACCTGCCTGAAGCCTGGGAAGGACAGGGCCGATCAGGGACACCCCAGGACGGGAGCCAGGAGGAGCACTGTGCCAGGGAGGAATCGCCCGAGAAGGACAGGCCGGATCTGGACCCAGTATCACGGCTGCCCAGAGCTGCATGGGGCTGTGAGTACTGGGGCTTGGGACTCTGCATTGGGAACAAGGAGGGAGGCTGTAGCTAGTTAAGTGGGGAGGTGGTCACTCTGTGTGGCTTTGCAGAGACCGGCAGAAGAGGGCACCGGAGGGGTTTGTTGGGGAAAGTTCACTGGCGCCGAAGACGACCAGGAGCACCCAAGACTCGCCACTGGACTGGAACTTTGCTCAGGACTCCTGAACTCTGTGTGCAGACACATTGCTCGGTGTCTGCCCTTCCAGACTGTGCTACCACTGGGCCTGTGGGGCAGCCCAGTCTTACTGCTCCCCCTATATTTCCCCTTGTTGTTTTTCTCCTCTCATCCCTCTGTAAATAAATATTTCCCTTGTTATATCCACTGTACTTTTCCTGTACACACTGTGGGTGTGTTTGTTCACATGGGAATTAAGGACTGAACGGAAGTGAGATTAGAAACTATAAAGTTGCCACAACTCAATGTCGGGTGGGGGAGGCGGGGAAGCCACATCCTCCTAAGTTTATCTGTTTTGCTCACAAGTGGACTTTTGTTTTTCTGAACTAGATCCCATTTCGAAGCCAGGTTCCTATGACATGCTGCAAGAGCCATATAACATCAGACTGATTGTTATCTAGACTTAGCAGCAAAACATACAAAAGACATAAACTTGAGCCCAGATCTTGCAAGATTTTCTCTGCCATCAGACCCTTGTTGATTTCAAGGGAGCTCTATGTAGGTACTATAAGAATAATTGCAGGATCGGAGCCAGTTTTAGGTCTAGAAGATGGAATAATTCTGTGTGTTTAAAAAAAAAAAAAAATTGAGACTATACAAGAATTTTTTAAAATCCACTAAGAGAACCAGTATAGCAGTATTCACTTTCAGTGTTTCAACTATAGTACTTAGGATAGTTTACATTTACTGTTAAACTTTTTGACTTGCTACTTACTTCAAATAAGTTGTACCCTCACATTAATTTCATTTGATTTCCAATTGCTTTGGTTATTTGGTTCCATAGGATGACTTGGTGAGGTTACTGCTGCAAAGGGAATTATTTATTTGATGTAGACAAAGAATCAAAGATCCAGAAAACAGAAACACTTCAGATTTCACAAAAGTTAGGATTCTGTAGATTTGCTTCTGTAAAAGGCCAAACAAGGGCATGCCTAAACCCCTTTGGAAGCATTTTGGGCGAGTTTTAAAAATTTAAACTTCATGGTTCGGAATCTTGATTGCAATCCACAACTCTTACTAATCATTGTAAACGGATGCGCCGTTGATATACATTGTAGCCGAGAAATTTTGTATTAAGGTTAAAATCCACTTTACTGGTTTAATAGTGGGTGGGATTTTTGCCTAACAATATTCCCCTTATTAAAATGTGTAGATTAGTGATGTAAATTTTATGAGGCTCTCTGCCAGTGGGGCATGTGAATGAGAGGAAGTCTAAGACTTTACTTTGGCTTGGAGGCATTCTTATTTATCTGAAACTATTAACATCCTCGGGCTTTGTCTACACTACACACCGCTTTTGGCAGCGTGTAGTGTACATACCCGGGTAGCTCCCCCTTCCCCTGGCAGTTAAAAATAAGTGTATCTTGTGAGGCAGGGCTTGGTGAGTAAAGACCCACTTGAACTGTGGGTATATAGCAAGTACAGTAACTCCCCACTTAACGTCCTCTCACTTAACATCGTTTTGAGCTTGCGTCCCTGCTCAATTACAGAACATGCTCCATTTAAAGTTGTACAATGCTTTGGCTGCCTGCTTTGTCCACATCTGGCAGCCCCCCATCAGCTCCCCTATGCCCTCCCACCCACAGCACCTCCTGCCCGCCGGCAGACCCTGCGGATCAGCGCCTCCCTCTAGTTAGTAATGGGGAAAGGGTTTAACTTTACTTACAGATCACAGTAAACAAATACTTCTATTGGAAACTAGGTCGCCGTCTCAGCTGGACATGGGTTTTTGGTCTTGGGTATGTCAAGGATGATCACTTGGGGCTTTTGCCTGCACAGCTGATGTGAGGCGGATTGTATTTATAAACAGCAAAATGAGGAGGAAGGTTGGTCTTGTGATTAAGGCACTGGACTGAGAAACCAGGTCAACGCCTGTCTCTGCCACAGACTTGCTGTGTGACCTTGGGTAGGCATCACAACCTGTTTGAGACAAAATTCCCCATCTGTGAAATGGAGATAATACTTCTGCCTCACTGGGCTGTTGAGGATAACATCATTAATGTCTACGGCGTACTCATGTAATGGTAATGGGGCCTTTATAAGTGCTTAATCTGCACAAGCTGGCTCAAAGAGGTGCACACAGATGAGGGCTTCATGTGGTGGCTGAAGATCACAACAACTCCATATCTCCCCAGGCATGTCCACTCGCTACCCTTTTTGCACTACTCATTAGAGCGGAAGCAGGCACAGGAGAGTCCTGAGACTGCCAACTTCTGAGTGAGTAGCGCTTGCTCCTATGTGTGCCCGGGTAGCCTCCGCTAACCCTTGCACTAGAGCACAATAACCTGGCACTCCCTGCTATTTGTACTACAATGGCCCAGCTGAGATCGGAATCCAGCTGTGCTAGGGGCTGTCCAAACACAAGGGAAGAAACAGTTCCTGGTCTTACCATCTAAATGGATAGTGCTAAGGAAAGGAGGAGGAGTAGCAGCCCCATTTTACAGATGGAAAATTAACGCACCGTGAGACTAAGTGTCACAGCCAGGAATTGGAGCTACATTTCCTCAGTCCCAGTCCAGTGTCTTAACTAGAAAACCAACCTTCCCTGCAAAGGGTTAAAGCCTTTTTTGATAGGAAGTGTCACTGCAAGGTAACCAAAGAGGCTCTGGTGAGACTGCTGTAAACAGCCTGCTTGCAGCAAAGGGGTAAAGGTCTATATGATGCCACAGACTATTGTAAAACTAGGTCTTAGATTGTGGTTATTGACAAGAAAACATGAGTAAAAATAACATCTTACTACTTGCTGCATGTTTCTGCTTCCAGTGCAGCTTCTGATTCATAGTGGCTTACTTTCCTGAGGGGAAAAAATCAGTTTCTTACTGCTAGCACTGTTGAAGAGCAAACTGAATTCTATCATGTCCAATGAATCAACAAAATGCCAGCTAAATTCTGATTCCAGAATCTTCATGGTTGGGGATGATGTATGAAGCAAGGGCCAACACGGCTTGATTTTCAAAAAGCTGTCAACTGGTGCTAGAGGGGGTCTTGTTTGGACTTGGAAATGGAGAAAATGTTATGTGGAATTCACTAAGGCAGAATAACTACACCTCCCCCTCCCCGCCCCATCCCGTTTGCCCCATGTCGCTCTTCTCACCGTTCACCAGACTTTAAAGAAAAGTTGCAGCTGAACAGAAAAGGGATTTGAATCCTTGCATCTAATCATGGAAGAGGCATGAATTTTCTGAGACAGAAAGTTTCAGGTCTTAAATATCACTTTAAAAACTATAATTAGACAACTCCTTGATAGCGGGGTGATGTTGGGTAATGTCTCTTTGGGGAACTCAGTGATTTTTTTTTTTAACAGCAGTGGTACAGCAACTTCTACATTTCTACAGCTACTTGGTTAATTTAACAGTCGTTTAACTAGTGTTAAATTACCCTTTAAAGCAGGAGAATGTGCTGTAGATAACAATTTTGAAAAATCTCCCACCTTCTAGTTATTCCTCTGGGAGAGATGTATTTTGTGCAGCTCAATCTAATTCTCAGCAGGAGGTGTAATCTGATGAAGTAGTGATGAAATGTCTATGAAAGACAGAGAGACACCAATGTCTGCTGAAGTGAGTTGCCAAAGCAGTGACAGGTAAGGGGCTTGGCTGCTATGCATTGCAATGTTACGCAATATGGATTGTGACATTTTGCACCCGTTGAAGTCAGAAGCATGGCCCATGCATGCTTAGCAGCTGTGGTAAATTAACCCTCCAGAGCTATGCAGGTGCTAGCTGAGGGAGTACAGCCTGGCCTTGGTGTCAGATCACATCTGAAAGGTACATGTCTGATATCACTTCACTGACATGTATGCTGCTACCTCAACTCTTATGCTGGCTAGTTATCAATTATTATAGTAGTACTCTAGCGTGCTCAATCAAGAGCAGGGCCCCCTTGTGCTAAATAAACACATACTATGAAGCACTCCCTGACCCAGAGAATTAACCAGCTTGTAGTGAGGTGGAGTGGCCTCCCTCTGAGCTGGAGGTGGGAGGATCACTCTCTGCACCCAGGTAGTTGAAGCCAGAC